CTGATGGCTAGTCACCCTGACGAAGCCGGCAGGAGGCCTGCGAAAGCTAGGTGTTTTAATGTTTTAATAGCAATAAACTTTTGTAATTTTTTAATCTCCTGGTGGTCTCACTGTTTGTGACCCTTCGAACGCCCAGAACGGAGTTCCGGCACCTTTTTGGGATGGAACCTTGTAGGGTAGGCAAGGCGGGTTGTATGACATGTGTGAGTTCCGGCATCTTTTTTTTTTTTTTTTTTAACCAAAAAAGCACTATTTATAGGAAATAAATGCACTCTAGTAAAATATATTCTTGTCATAATTCCATTTGTAGTTTCCTGTCCTGTAGCTGCAAGCTTCTTCTTTACAAGTTTTACTTAGTTTGTACAGAAGAATTGCAAATTGTTATTATTTGATTGGCCATAAGGATTTAAAATAGATATTAAAATAGATATTTGCACACACATATACAGTGTACCTGTGTGTATCTATGGTATATCTGTTTGTGAAATGCAAATAACGCATCAGAAATCTAGCCATGTCACAGAAAAGTTCTGATACATTTATGTTTTCAGTAGATTATGCTTTGCATGCTTTGAAAATTGTTCAAAAGAAATGCTTGACACTTTGAATACAGCTCTTTCTGTTATTCATTAAAACAGCCTAGCTATTTTCAAATTCCCATTGCTCCAAGGAATCCCTTCATTAAAGTTAATGTGACCCTTAGAATATATTTGAGATTTGTAATTAAATACTCATAAATAAATCTTAAATATCTTCCACTGAAACAGGATTTGGAATATTTTAAACTGTTCTATAAGTTAGGTGAAAAAATGTATTTGTTTCAATTAATAAATGCATTTTTCAGAAAAATAATTGAATTTTCTGTTCCACATAGCAAAATGTAGAGGATCAAAGTCAGAAAAAAGAACATTTTGTATTTCCACATATTGTAGTTTATAGTTCTAAAGCCAGACATCTAACATAACTAATTTGAAGAACTACAAAAACTTGGGTTGGTTGCAATCCTGAAGCCGTTAAATTTCTGCTCATATACTAGACCTTGAAGCTATAGCTCTTAATATGCTCATTATTTTTAAATTTTAAGGGTGAAAAGAATTCCTAGCCTCTGATTTGACAACTTTTAAATTTATTTATCAGATTTATATGCCCCCCCCCAACTCATACACTCTGGTGTTGTAGGAGATGACCAGGCTGAACTTAAGGGTGTGGTCAAACACATCAACCTTTTGGAGTCTGTGCTCCAATAAGAGACCTAATTGAAATCCATTGACCCTTACCTGGCACCAATTTGCTTTGACCATTCAGATTGTAGTTCAGATTCTTGCATACAGGTAGCATTAAATAAACTTATAGTACTTTTGAACTTTATCCTGGTTTCTGACTTTTTGCACTAGTTTGAATACATACTTGCTTTTTATTATATTCATTTTGTATATATTATAATATTTTATTATTACTACAATATTTAATTATATATGATATAATTTGGTTATATAATTCTAAATACTTAATTAAAAAGAAACATTGCTGTTTGGTATTTAATTCTGAATAAGTAAGTAGATAGGCAGATGATAGGATGGATAAATAGATGGATGATGTGATATAATGTGATGTGATATACATCCTTTGCTCCCTTGTTGAATGTAGTGATGTTGTGACTTACTGGGAAAAGGGCATTTCTATCTTATTTATGAAGTAGGGTCAGGCTATTCATAAAGCATGAATCATTTAATCATAAGTATATGCGTTACATAGATATAAGGTTGCATTTTTAAAATTATGACACTTTCTGCATTTAAATTTTGAATCATCAAAAAAGTAGCATGGGCTGTGAGAACTCTATTTCTTATACACACCATGTTAGATTTCCTCTAAAAGATAGTGTGAGCCCTTTGAGGTAGGCCAGGCCAGGAAACAGTAGAACATCTACTTTTTTAATCTAGGCTATAAGAATAGAGTTTCTCCTTCCACCCCTCTTAAACACAATAAGGTCAAGGCAGGTCAGTCTTGACTTTCTTCTTCATTTCTTCCTGTCTTCCCAAGTTAAGCATATGTTTTTGTAAGGGCTGCCTCATATTTATATCATGGATATTCCTGTACAAATAAAAGTAGGAAGCAATATGCTATGCCAAGGTAGCAGACAGAATCAGGATGCAGAGGGCTTCTGGAAAAGGAAATTTGAGAATTCAAATATACTAGCCTTTGGGCTCCATGATTTCATTATAAGTCCATAATCTAAAGTATAATAGATTCTTAATAATAGTAAGAGTCAAATTTTCACAATAGACAGATGGATAGAAATATGTCAAACTCATTCAATAAATTCAGTGAGATTAAATAAGTAAAGGAACAATTGGTTGCTTAGTGACTATTCAGAGTTACAATAGATCCTTCCAGAAGCTAGTTACAACCTGTTTCCACAGTTACAATAGTATTTTCAACGCTTGGCAGCTGGCTCATTTTTGTGATTGGTTGCAGCATTCTACTGTCATGTAACAATGTTTTTTTTTACTGATTTCTGGCCTTTTGTGGCCTGTTTTTGGCAAAAAATGCTGATAAGAATGATTGCTTCAAAAAAAAGTTATAAATGAAGTTGGTCACATGGGTGCTTTGATTTATGATCATCATGATTTACAATGAAAATTCTAGGCTCCAAATATGGTGGTAAGTCAAGAATTACATGTATTACATTGCTAAAAGACAACTCTTAAATTCCAATGTGATTTTGTTTATTTACTTACAACTTATTTTTTGTTTTAATGAGAATTCTTGTATTTCAGGACCAAATGTTTTCGTGGGAAAAAAGTCCATGGAGAATATGACATCAAAGTCGAGCAGGTATTCAGTTTTTCTTAGTGTTAAGTATTATTTCAGAGTGTTAAGAATGAAATAAGTTGGCATCATATAAAACTATTTTTACCTAGTGTAAATAATGAAATTATATAATACAGTAAATAATATATGAAATATTTGAGGTTACCAAGGCAGCTGCAAGAAAATGTTTTAAGAACACTTGTCAAAGATTTTACCTAGTATTTATTAAAGCAGTGAATTTTTTAATAAATCCATACATCTTCCTGTCACTTCTAGATGATTCAGAGGATATTCATAAATTTGATGGGATTTTTTTTAACTTTGCAAAAAAAAATGTTATGTTTGATAATAACATATGGACATATGTTATTATCAAACATATGATGGGGAATAAGTGATGGAACAGATCTTGGAAATGAACATGATTAGTTGGCCAGTGAGCTTTTATTAATTCTACTCACTCTTCCTATGAGAGCAAATGGAAGTGTGTATCCTGCTTGTTTTGATATAATTTGTTCAGATTTGATCGTAGGAGAAGAGAAAGAAAGATAAACTTTTTAATTTTTTAAAAATGTTGCTCTTTCTTCACTGCCACAGTTTGTTTTTCATGTAAATAGGGTCAAAATCATATTTCTATTCCAACATCTAACAGCTTTTAATGCAAATATTAGAAGAGTGATAATTTTTTATTGTGCCTATAACTACTTTTTTCATTTGATTACTTTTGTTACACAGATAAATTTTAATTAAAAGAATATGCCTAATGATTAAAAACTACATTACATTTACTTAGGGGTATAATCATATTTGCTTGGGGGAAAAATGAAGATAATTATAATGACATGATATATTGCCTTTAATGAAGTGAAGTATGTTGGATTTGCAAGAGAAAAAGGAATGGAACAGATGGGTTAAGAGGTGTAAAGGAAAAATGTAGGAGAGGAAGCATAGAAGATGCATGGAGAGAAGACCTGAAGCTGAAGTCAGGGACAGTCATGCTGGCTGAACACTCACAAAACTAGCAAATTGCTGGGGAAACAGTGAATGTGGAAACCTCCAAAAGTGGGATCAACAAAAGGAACAGCTGGAAGAACAATATATGAATCCACCAGTGATCACTGCCAGGACCCATAGGATAAAGCCTTGAACATCTGTAACTGTTGTGGCCAGGCATATCTATGAAAGTTGTTGCCAGGCTGGTAGATACAGAGAGAGGCAGCAAGAAGGTAGTTTCCATTATTGGCACTCCCTCTATGTAAACAGACTCAAGCATAGAATTAGCTGAGATGGAGTGAGTTGAATCATCCAAGAATAGGTGGAAATGTTCTACTGAAGACAAATAAATGTAAAAATGTTTCTTTAAGAGTGCCTCTTTTAAGGGGGGCAGGAATTATGAGAAGTGTGGGTGAACATTGGAAGGTGGTTTTAGAGGACAGAGTTATAAATGTTGGCTGAAGATTGTTTGACACTGCGGAAACTGGGGAAATATGGACTGGAAGAGTAAGTTTTTGTTAGAGTCATGCAGCATCCAAAAATGAATGAATGAATGAATGAATGAATGAATGATTTCATTCATTCATTCATTCATTCATTCATTCATTCATTCTCTGGGTAAGAGTTGGAGTTTAGCTGCAGAATTGTTCTACCTGGAGTGAAAGGGTTGAAACAAGGAAGTTTCAGAGTGAAAAATGGACAAGGGAAAGGATAGCTTCAGCATGGGACAAGTGAGTTCAAAGAGGATCATTATAGACAGCTGGTGGAAGGATGGGGCTGACTGCTTTGGAGAACTGTAGCTTCTAAATCACAGGTGTCAAACTCGCGATGTCACGTGATGTGTCGTGACATATTGTGGCTTTTTTCCCATTGCTGGCAATGGGGTGGGTGCAGTTTTGGTGTGACACATCCGGCCCATGGGCCAGCAGTTTGACACCCCTGCTCTAAATGCTCCTTTTTTTTTTTTTTTAATATAAAATTTTTATTATTTTCCAAAAAAAAAACATCACAAGTATTACACAATATTATATTATATCCCACCCCCCCGGACTTCCCAAACCAAGTCCCAGGCTAATATTCAAATATAGGTAAACAAATATTAATATCTCTAACTCCACAAACTCTATTTATAAACAATCCATCTCTTCCACATTAATAAAAAAATTATACATTTAAGTAATTCAAATACACCAAAGTCTATACCAATTCAGCAGGTATCACCAGTAACTCTTCCTCTCTATTAAAACATGATTATCATATTTATAGTAATAATATAAGTGCATTTCAATTTCTAAAAAGTATATTCTAACATTTCATCAATCTAGCCCTATAAAAAATCATTTAA